AGAGAGAGAGAGAGAGAGAGAGAGAGAGAGAGAGAGAGAGAGAGAGAGAGAGAGAGAGAGAGAGCAAACTAGATAGATTTGATTAGAGGAGGGTGCTCATACTCCCTGCCAACAGCGGTGGAACTCATGGTCTTGGATTTGACCACATTCTGCCCGGAAGAAAGGCAGTGGTCGCTGGTTCCGGGCCCATGGCACACGAGAAGTATATGGAAGAGATGAAGAAGGTACTAATGAGATTGTCGAAACCATAATTGCAGGATTTATGCAAGAAGGATGACATCACGTATGTCAAAAAAACAGTTACTACAGCCGAATTGGCTAGGATTCGGGCAGTGGCCGCGTTTGGGCTCTGGAGCAATGGGATCAGTGTCCAGTGTAACGTTTTGAGACAACAACAATGATACATCCCAGTCGCGGCCTATTCTGACTTCGGTTTGGCAATGAGTTCTCTGGCGAAAGGTTTGGTAACAAGGAGGAAACGCCTGAAGGCCTGACAACAAGGCATGGATGACATGGGAAAAGGTGTTACGTTTTATTATGTTTTTTTTTTTGTGTGTTTTCGCTTGGTTAATGACGTTTTAAGGTTATTCACTCAGTCGGTTACATCAAAAGGATGATTGGTTTGAGTTTGAGAGTTGCATGTATGTTTTGCTTTCCTAGTGGCACCGGGCTTTGTTATATTTGGAAAAGATGTGCAAAGTTCCGATGACAGGTGGCCGGAACATGTCTATGACATTGATCAAGAAGACAAGAAAAACCATAAATTAAAGTTTTGGCTATGTAAGAAGGGTGGGGAATACACTTGATTCTATTGTGGGAGTTTGATCTTGTATTCCAAGGGGAATCGCATAAGGGGTGCTAAATGTAGACCAGGAAAACATGAACACACTAAGACTCGTAGATAGCACGATAAGCAATAAACTAGTCATCTAATGTGCCTTCATTTTTGTTTTTCATCAGAGGAAGTAGGAAGTAGAGAAGGTTTTTTGATATTATGAATTTTGTCTCAAGTTCATGAGGAAGGTCATGTTCTAGGAGGACTCGTTGTGGGTTGACTGTTGGCCGATTGTGAAAAGGGTGTTGCGTAATGCTATTGTACACATGAAAGTGAATAAGTTTTTTGTTGAAATAGTTATGTGACTTACTACAGGGTGGTGAAGCATTCAGGGTCAGCCATTTTAAGCTCAGGGTGGTTGTAAATGAACAACAACTGGTTGGTATACTACCATAATGAAGTTACCTTTTATTTTTTTTATTTTCATAGTTTTTTTTTTGGCTTCTTTTGGAGGTTTTTTGTTAGCAGTTTAATGAACTCGGAAGGAAATTTCACAGTGGTCATACTCTAAGCTTTTAAATTTGTACTTTATAGTTCAAACTTCGAACCTTCGATAATATTCGACAACATACCATACTCAAAGGAATTCTTACTCGCTCACTTTCCAAGACTTTTGGGCAGAGTTCCAGGTCACATATCATGGTGAAATGTTTTTTCGATTTGTTTTTGTCCAAGCTGAGTATTTTGAAAATTTGTAGGAGATATGTGTTTTAACTTTATAAACATTTGTGATAGGAGATGTGCCAAGTTCTTTTCAAAAAGGATTCCGGTAGTGTTTCAAAAACAACAATCAATTCATTATATTCTAGTTAATCATCGAGAATTCGCTTTCTATAAAAATTATACATTTCCTTGTCAATCATTGGGTTAACTTTCATATCCTCAATGTGGTGATCATTTTGTTTTTCATCTGTATGAGATGTCGAGCATTCATCCTCAGTCAAGAAATGACCCTCTAAGCAAACCTCTCACCGTTCCCTCGACCAGTCTATCTCTGCAGTTTTCTCGAAAGTCATTTTACATCTTTATTCAACTTTATCCAAACTCATATATTATCTCAATAAATCGGTCAGCTCTCAAATTTGACTTTGGGACGATTTTTATAAATGACGTTTGAGGGGTATTTCGTTCCCTCTCTTCACTTGTTTGTGCCCCCGTAGATCACAATTATGAATATTTTTTTTCTATTGTCCTACAATATATTCTTCGGTTACATCCCCTCTTTTTTCCTTTAATCCCAACTATATTCGCATTGGTTTATCTGAAGATACAGTCCTACAACAATATAAGGAGGATTTTAAGTCTGGGGGATTTACTTGGAAGAATATTGGGACTATTGGTAGGTGTCGTTGCATCCCATAACACAAAAATACTCAATGATGACGCTCGATTCGTCCGTTTTTTTCTAAACATAGTAATGTGAACGATAAATGTTTGGTAAAGTTATTAACGCTTTGTTATGGAAACTACCCACCTTCTTCCTACTATAATATGCGAACAACTTCACATGCTAGAGACAAAGTGAAACAATTTAACTGCTCTAATTCTAAATTTGTAGAACCACAAATCCAAGATGTTGCTTTTGATATCAAAGA